GGTAGGATGTGGGAGCTGGGAGATTGGCAGTGCTTTCCTGGGAACTTAAAAATCCTCTCAGGTGCCTGGGCCAGCAGCCCAGTACTGGCATTGGCCTCAGTGTCTATTCCTCCTTTTCATGGTGCCTTCCAACCTCCCCACTCCCTACCACCGCCCCCAGCCCCACCCGCTTCCTAACCATGAGGTTGGCTGGTGCCCCAGGATGCTTTGGGATCATGACCAAGGGATCGTGGAAGCATCGTTGAGGAATAAAGTGATCCAGGACTCAGTGACCAGATTGGGGCCATAAGGTGGACTCTTGAGGAAGTCGATGGGGTACTCCGTGCCTCGTTGGTTGAGCCAAGGGTTTAGGGGTGAAAAGGGCCTGGGGTGCTGTGGGCTGCAAGGTCAGCAGTCAGGAAGAGCAGCTGGATGTAGGCACCGCTGTGCCTGTCCCCTCCTCAGAGAGGGATGGCCACTGCCAATTCCTCCCTCAGCCAACTCTCACCGGTACCATAGAGGGCTGGGTATCTGGGAACCAGATGGCCCTGCACACTCCAGAACAATGTTCATACTTGTACGCTTGTGTGCAATGGTGAGTGTGAGTGTGTGAGCATGTGTACAACAGGTCTGAGGTTGGTAAGTCATATAAGATCAATGTCACTGTTACCTCCACAGACATCCAAAGATGATATTGAGGAAATGAGGAGTAAAATGGTAAGAAGCTCTTCCCCATGTATAGTAAGGGTGTGGGCGGGGGCCTGGGTTTTGCTGTGGGAGGCTAAGAATGTTCTGGGTCCTGGGGTCCAGGAGGGAAAAGGATCATATCTCTTGGTTCCAACTCTATCTCTTCTTACAGAAGGCAGCTGTAAACAAATTATGGGATGGACACAAATCCAAAGAAGAGGACCACGTGGGTCAGGGTTCCCAATCTTGTGCTCTGTACCATTTGGGTGGGGTAGTTCACGATGATGATGATGATGATGATGATGATGATGATGATGGTGAGGATGATAATGAAGGTGCCACCTCAGGTTGGCTCATTCCTTACCCTGGACAAAATTCACACCTGTGTGGCAGGTGAGTACACAGGTGGGAGATAGGAAGGCCCAGGGAGCCTGAGAGGTGTCATAGTCATAGGTATATTGATGACAAAGCAGGTCCCCAGGCACATGCCTGAACCCGTTATGGGGAGACGGCGAGCTGAGAACAGGGGATAAGACTGAAAGTGAGGGAGGCCGGGGGAATGTAAACAGAGTCATTTTTTCCCAAAGGGTCAACATAGGCCTAAAAGAGCTGGGGGTGAGTTTTGGCCTCCCCCCTCCCCCAAAGCTCAGTCCCCAGGAGTTTGGCTGGGCCAGGTTATTGGGGTGTGCTTTGGCTCCCTTGGAGGTCACAGTGGGGACTACAGACCACAGCCGGCAGGAGCAGGCCTGCAGCCTCCACACCCTCCTCTCCTCAGATCAGCATCAATGAGACCACGCTTGATACCATATTTGCTCACTGTGAGAACAACAACCAAGTTAATCTGAGGCTCCTGACACAGTGCTCTGTGCTTCCCCTTCACCCCTAATCGCTTGTGATGTTGGCGCTGCCATGTGCATACATAGCCCCTGAGTGGGGTGGGGTGCTCTGCAAGAAGTCTTTGTCTGTGGACTGCTGGCAGGAAAGCAGGCAGCTCCCTGTGTGAGCTTCTGTCAGAACCTGGTCAGACCCTACACATGGCCCATCCCCACAGGAATCTTCTCCCTTACTTCCGGAGCAGCAGCAGGAACTGCGTAACAGAGTCCGTAGGAGAGTCCGCCCTGGAAAGAAACCAGGCCCGGAGCCAGACCCTGAGCCGGACCCTGAGCCAGAAGGAGCGGACAACCAAGGTCCCGGTGATTTTGAGAGGATGTTAATTAAATTTGGGACAGTGAAATCAGGAAGGGCTTAGGATAGAAGATGCACCAGCAGAGAGCCTAAGCTGGGCTGCTTTTGCTCAGTTAATTTAGAGAAAAAGGGGGCCTTGGAGACAGGTTTGGGGGGGAGGGATTGAGTCCAGACAAGCTGCTGCTGCCCACTGCTCCTCTGGTTGCAAGTCTCCCGGGGTCCCAGGGTTTAGGCGATGCATGCCTGAAAGGGAAGAAAGGTGTGGGCTTGCGCCTGGGTCCTTTGTCTTGAGGTTTAAAGGCTGGGAGTTTAGAGGAGGTCTTCAGGAAGGCTCTCAATAGACATCTATGTGAGAGAGAAACATTAATTGGTTGCCTTTTGTATTTGCTTTGAATAGGGATTGTACCTGCAAGCTAGGTATATGCCTTGACTGGGAATCAAACCCACAACCTGTGTTGTGTATGGGACGAATCAGCTTTATGCTGATGTGCCAAAATGAGATGTTTCCTTTAACTTCAGCTGTGGTTGGGAGTGTTTGGCACTAACTGGATTTCTGCTATGTGCTATGGATTTAAGCTATTTACTCCCTGTTTTGGGAGGAGAAGTATGAGCCTCTTAGTCTTTTTTTTTTTTTAAATC